AAAAAAAAAAACAACAGGAACACTCACTGCATTCTGATGAAGCCACACATCAATTGAAAAGCAAATATATCGAAATAAAAAAAAACAAAAACAATTAAGATAATTAGCCTGACTGACATATATATATATATATATATATATATATTATATGAGAGAGAGAGAGAGACTCTCGCTCATACATAGATATTCTTACCAATATCTGCTGTATTATGGAAAAGATTCTTAGTAGGATGTTCTCCAAATATTGATTTGATATGGTCAAATTGGCAGCTAGTCTCAAAAATGCCCTACTGGGGTAAGGAAAAAAAAATCTCTTTGGTACCTTGACTTTACGAATTTAAGCGCAATACTAGATGCTCGATTAGATTTTGAGAAATTAGATTAGACCAAGAACTTTTCAGGACCTCTATGTAATATTTCCCCTTTTTTATGGACAAACCTAAACTCTAGCCTGATTATTTTTATCTGTATACCCTCCATTACTAAAGGAGGCTGGTAAAATGGTCAGCTCACTATGTCACTTCACGAGGAATGGCTTGTTAATTTTAACGCCTCCAAAACTGCTTTCTATCAATCATTTGAGAGATCCCTTTCATCAGCATGGCTGATGCTAACCTCCAGGAGAATGGCTAGTTGCGCATTCTTGGGAATATTCAACTCACATGGAGTGAAGAGATTATATTGAATTAACAGCTAGGTCTGTGGCTCGGAAAGTTGTTTCACTGCATTGTGCAAGACAATTTTTGTCTCCAGAGTTTATCATACATCTTTATATGTCCACCATTTTTCCATGCTTTAAATATTGCTGCCACATGTGATCTGGTGCCTCTGCATTTAGAGATTCTTGATAATACCCAAAGAAAAATCTGCAATCTTATTGGGCCTAACATGGCATCTTGGCTTCAGTGACTTTCCTACTGACAAAATGTATCTTCCTTGTGCCTTTTTTATAAATACTTTCATGGTAATTATTCTGATGAACTTTCCTCTATGGTACCGAGACTTTATGGATTTAAGTGCAGTACTAGATTGGCGGCAAAGTCTTGTGGTTTTCTAGTTGAAATGGCTTGATGCAATCGAGTGTTCTATACTAACAGTTTTTTTTCTCTCTCACGGTATTATATCCACGGCCTTATAGAATGGCAGCAAGGTCTCATCATTTTACAGTTGAAATGGCTAGATGTAACCGTAAGTTCTATGCTAACACTTTCTTCTCTCTCTGACGGTATTACATCCCGGCCTTATAGATTGGCGGCAAGGTCTCATCATTTTACAGTTGTTGAAATGGCTAGATGTAACCGTAAGTTCTATGCTAACACTTTCTTCTCTCTCACGCTATTACATCCACGGCCTTATAGATTGGCGCCAAGATCTCATCATTTTACAGTTGAAATGGCTAGATGTAACCGTAAGTTCTATGCTAACAGTTTCTTCTCTCTGACGGTATTACATCCACGGCCTTATAGATTGGCGCCAAGGTCTCATCATTTTACAGTTGAAATGGCTAGATGTAACCGTAAGTTCTATGCTAATAGTTTCTTCTCTCTCACGGTATTACATCCACGGCCTTATAGATTGGCGCCAAGGTCTCATCATTTTACAGTTGAAATGGCTAGATGTAACCGTAAGTTCTATGCTAATAGTTTCTTCTCTCTCACGGTATTACATCCACGGCCTTTTAGATTGGTGGCAAGGTCTCATCATTTTACAGTTGAAATGGCTAGATGTAACCGTAAGTTCTATGCTAACACTTTCTTCTATCACATTTCTCGCTTGCTGAACTTTCTTCCAGCTTGCTCAACAGTCAAAAAAATAAAAATGCTATGTCAGTCATTATCTCAGTATCTGTCTATATTTCTGAGATGAGGTATTATGTACACTATTTACATTATTCAGACTTTTGTCCTCATCTTTGTCGCCATATTTATTACAATGTTTCAGCCACTACATGCTCCGGTCTTCTTCAGGTGGTTGGAATGTCGAAATGAACCCATTATTCCGCTCACTGGGATAGACTGTTCTAGTTCCACGTGCCATGTTTAATGGATGTCAGTTATCAGTTATCTCCTGTTAATTTTTCCGTTTTTTCCACTGCCTTAACTGGGTATTGAACTCACACTGAGTCCTGTCACTGGATCTAACTAACGCCTTTATCCACTGTGCCAAGAACACATGGCACAGTGGATAAAGGCGTTAGAGTGTGAGTTCAATACCTGGTTAAGGCAGTGGAGAACTTGGAGAGGGGAATTAACAGGCGATAACTGACAAATGACATCCATTAAACACGACACATGAAACTAGAACAGTCTACCCCAGTGAGTGAAATAAAGGGTTCAGTTCAACATTCCAACCACCTGAAGAAGGCTGGAGCATACAATGGCTGAAACGTAATAAATATGATGACAAAGATGAGGACAATAGTCCAAACGATGTAAACAGTGTACAGTCCTTATCTGTCTTAATTATTTATCGACTTGCTTGGGGCGAATATGATTATATATATATTATATATAAGGACTTGAGGGCAAAGGACCTGAAATCCTTTAAAAGAATACGGCTAAAAGCCCACGTCGGGGACAATATCTATCATATATATCACACATCTTCCATAATCGAAACATTAAAAGAGACGGATTCAACATTCACCCCACAAAACATGAACAACACGATACAGACATTTGAAATGGCAGTAATTTGCAGGTTATTTAAAGCCAGAGCATATTTTTAGAGTGTAACAATAATATTGATTTAGTGATGCAAGTCTTACTAATTAAGGGAGAATTTGATAAGAAAAAAAAAGAAAAAAGAATTATAATGCGGATATAAAGTGGGGGACCAATTCTATATTAAAATCAATATATAAAATGATCCCTCAATTTGTGGCCAAGGTAGTTTCTATACATTTATATTCCAGAGAATGTAAATAAATCTAAAAGCCATGCCTGTGTAGCTAATCAGTATTTCATTGATTGATTGATTCATTTTCTATGGCTTATCAGCAAAAAAAAAAAAAAAAAAATAAAGATGTCACATATTGTCTGGTGCCATATATTTGGGGGGGGAGGCAGGGGAGGAGAAGAGGTGGATTCATACCCAATCAGAATTTGATAAACAAATAAAAAATTATGATGTGGATACAAACTGGGGGATCAATTCTATATTACAGTCAATATATAAACTGACCCCTCACTTTGTGGCCACTGTAGTTTCTGTACATTTATATTCCAGAGAATGGTAATAAATCTAAAATCCATGCCTGTGTAGCTAATCAATATTTCAGTGATTGATTCTTTTTCTATAGCTTATTAACTCTTTGCAGGTTTTTTAAAACCAGAACAGATTGTAAGAATTTTAGGGGGCTGGGAATAATGATTGTAAGAATTTTTGGTAGATATTCATAATTTACTGATACAAGTCTTACTAATTGATGCATGACTGGTGGGAGAAGATGTCGATTCATAATTTTTCCAATGCTAATTGAAAACATTAATTCCCCCCCCACCACCACTTATGTACTACTTGCAGAAGTGAATCTAACAAACCCAACCGGAATTGGAACACTGCTTTTATTATGTTGTGGCCTCCAGTCTTCATCAGGTGATGGTCAATCACAGTAACCATAAAGGAATTTTGTGGTGAACACTTTATTAAATCAAGAGGGTGGGGTGTTCTCATTCTGCTGAATACGTCTAGGAATATCTCATCTAATTCTTATTTAGTACTGCTCAGTTATTGCTCATCATGTTTCCACTGCATGCAAGTCCTAGAAGATTAAAGGGTTGGTTTGTGAGTTTGGCAATGTAGTGATTGCAACTCGAGGTGACGGAGATGTGGTTCTACAGAAGGCTGCTAATGTTGACCATGTTCACCATAGCCTATGAATATAGAATACAGCGCAGTACGTAATCTGTTCAATGAAACCACGTTAAAGATTAACACTCACAAGTCAGACATCTACTGAATCTGATGAAATCACCAATACCACCAGCAGCTGTTCTGTAATTCTTCAGTCTTCCATATCAAAGGCTGGCAGTGAGTATTCGGGGGAAAAAACATGGCCACCTTTATACATGTCGCATTGAATATTTTGAGCCTTCTGATTGGTTAACCCTTCTATTGGTGAACTATAAAATGAGTCAGCTCATTTTGGCTGGCTCACTAGTACACCAGGGTACCCAAAAATTCAAAACAGCTATGGATAGCGTGTGAGCAATGATGAGGTCTTGGAGAGGATGCAAACAAGGAGGAGGCTTGTACTTAACATCAGGAAGAGGCAGCTGAAGTTTCAGGGACACATAATGAGAAAGGAGGGCCTGGAGAATCTGATACTCACAGGTCAAATAGAGGGAATGAGAGACAAGGGAAAGCAATGAATGATATACTTGGTGGGCATGAGCGGGTGGATGACGTAACATGGTCTGGGGGAGGTGGCAGAGGAACAAAACTTATTGAGAGCCACAAGGGATGGGTTAGTGGAGAGCCATGTTCGCCTATGTCCTGATAGGTTATGGCACATAAAAAGAAAGAAATAAGTGATTACGAGTTTAATTGATGGACAAGGCAGTGCATCGTTTAACTTAGTGGAAACAGAAAGAGCTATAACTGAGCAGTAATAAAAATAAAGAACTAGACTAGTTATTCTTGAACATTGGTAGCTGAATGAGAACAATTTACAAAAGTAGACTGAATAAAGGTTTCAGTTTGAAAATTTCCTGATGAAGGCCAGAGAGCACAATGGCCGAAACACTGTGATAACAACCACAAAAATGAAGACAATATTCTGTGCATAAATAATTTTGTATCCCAGAAACCCAAAAAAAAAAAAAAAAAAAAAAAAAGATTAATTTTTTTTTTTCTCATTACAGGAGACCAGACTTGATATATACGTAGAAAAGAACAAAAAAAAAAAAAAAATGTCGTTCAAAAACTCCAGCCTTGCAGAAGCGCACAATGAAGTGATGCCGATCATCATTCCTATTGTTATTGTTATCGCGATACTTATGTTTGTTGGAGTCATTGGAAATGCAGCTGTTATCTATATCTACAGCTTTGTGTTAAAGAATACCACGGTTCATTATTTCATCACAGTGCTGGCCGTTTTTGACTTTATCTGCTCTCTTCTCGGCTTCCCACTGGAAATCATAGAATTTTATAATCCAATGGAATATCCTTCAAACGGACTCTGCAAGTGGCAACGATTCCTTACCTTCTGCTGCAGCATTGGCTCCATATTTGTTCTGCTCCTCATCTCTATTGAACGCTATCGAAAAGTTTGCCGTCCACAGAGCTACCAGTTAAACTTACAGCATGCAAAGTATTTCACAATTGGAGCCTGCCTTTTCTCGGTACTATTTGCCACCCCAATGACGATCTTCTCTCAAAACAAGTTAATACAGCTGAAGTGGTTTGGAAACCTGACTGGTTGTGACTGCCGCCTGAGTAACAGCTACGGCATCCTCCCCTTGTTTTATTTCATCTTCCTTTTGATATTTGCTACCATTACTCTTGCGACTATGTTAATACTCTACGGCCTCCTGTGGCAAATGGCTCGAATGCACTTCCTCGAGTCGGATTCGCGGTACCAACAGAGTTTAAATAACACTGAAGCAGGAGGAAGATCTCCGGCCAGGCGTCAACTCAGTCGTACCAATCACACAGTCATATTGGTTACTGTTCTTTTTACCATCAGCTTCTTCCCGACGCTGCTTTTGAGCATCTTCGCTGATCAACTTATGGCCAACATGAGTTACAGAGAGCAGCTCATCTTCTTCATGTTCGTTCGGATGTATATTCTCAATAGCTCGTTTAATCCACTTGTTTACGGCTTCTGTAACAAGCGATTCAGAAACGCTTTTGTCAAACTGTTTTGGCAGATTCTTTGCATATCACCAAAAGACAAACAAAGTTCATCTACAGAGACATCTTGAAATGTGTTTTCGGCAAACATAGATCTTTTTACTCGCAATAAGACAGAGTGTCAAAAGAAATGTTTTTTCCTTCACACCACTATTATTTTAACTACCTTCACTCCTCAGCAATGTTTGTTTTAAAAAGCAATGATTGGAATTGTAATAAAACCTAGACCTATGGAAGTGAAATTATATATTCTTTTTCTTCTTAAGAATTTACAACACTATTTATCTATTAGATAGTTTACTTGTAAGAATAATTTTATATTTACAACATTCTAAAAACTAATAGAATTGTATTAAAATTAATGCAATACAATATTTATCATTTACCAATTTATAAAGAAACATGAAATCAATTTTTTTTGTTCATGAATTTATAAGCATTTATGAAATTGTTAAATTATACAAACCAACTATAAGGAAATCTTATTTTATAAAGTTTGAATGAACTGGAAATTAGCCAATGTTTTGCCAACCATTCCAATAAACAATCTAATAAATAGTGTTTATTATTTTTATTGTCAATTCAAGAACAAAGAAAATGTAGAAATTCACTTTCATATTTAAGATTATTTACAATAATAATGTTATATTTACAACATTCTGAAAACTCATACAATTAAAACTAATGCAATATTTATCATTTACCAATTTATAAAGAAAAACACATGAAATCAATTTCTGATTCATAAATTTATAAACATTTATGAAGTTATTAAAATATGTGAAGCAACTATAAGTAAATCCTTATTTACAATTTTATAAAGTCTGAATCAATTGGCATTTAGTCAATGTTTTGCCAACCATTCCAATAAATATTATAATAGTATAAATAATCAATCAAATAAATAGTTGTCTGTTTCTGAGATGAGGTATTATCTACATTATTTACATTATTCAGACTATTAGCCAGGTATTGAACTCACTCTTTGAGTCCTGTCACTGGATCTAACCAATGCCTTTATCCACTGTGCCATATGTCCTTGAGGTTAAGGCAGTGGAGAACTTTCAGAGGTGAAAATTAACAGGAGATAACTGATAACCGACATCCATTAAACATGACACGTGGAACTAGAACAGTCTACCCCAGTGAGCAAAATAAAAGGTTCAGTTCGACATTCCAACCACCTGAAGAAGGCTGGAGTCTACAACGGCCGAAACGGTGTAATAAATATGGTGACAAAGATGAGGACAATAGTCTGAATAATGTAAATAAATAGTGTTTATTATTTTTGTTGTCAATTCAAGAACAAAGGAAATATATAAATTCACTTTCACATGTCTAGGTTTTATTAAAATTCTAACCATTGCTTTTTAAAACAATACAAAGAAGTGAAGGTAGTTAAAATAATAGTGGTGTCAAGGGAAAAACCATCCTTTTTGACTGTCTTATTCTGAGCACAATAGTCAATGTCTGTCATGTTTTAAAAGGAAGAGAGGATATATTTATATATTTATTGCTGAATTTGAAGGGTTACTCTTCTTAGGAAAGGGGTTCTTAATAATTAGGAGTGCATATACGATGAATGAGGAGGTCTTAATAAAACAAAAGGCCAGGAAATTATTTAAAGGGTAAAAAAATCTACAATTTAAGTAAAGAAACATTTTTTTTTTCTTGCTTTTTTGTTTGTTTGCGAAAATGACTAATGTAACATCCATCCTCATTCCCAAGACATCTTGCACATTTATTTTTCCAAGCAAGGCAATAAAGCCACTAAGATGTAAGGGGGTTACTGAGAGTGAAAGAAACTGAGAAAATATTAAGAGAGAGAGAGAGAGAACAATAAAAGGACAGGATTCAAGGAGACAAAAGACGACAAACTGACATAGCCTTAAATTTTTTGGAAGATTGTAGTTGACTGGAAAGCAAGCCAGAATAGAATTCCAGAAGTGAGAAATGAGAGAGAAGTAACTTATAATACTTAGAGCTTCCAGAAGCAATTTCAATGCTGAAATTACGAGACCTATCTGCCAATCTAGTACTGCGCTTAAATTTGTAAAGACACGTTATTAAAAGAGAAAAGCTCATCAGAATAATAGTCATGAAAATATTTATAGAAATGGTACAAGGAAGTTATGTTATTGTTGGTTGGATGTTTTTGTTTAGCAGCATATCAACATCTCCATGGGTTATTGTTGTAATCTAGAAAAGGTTACTGAATGAGGAATAACCAAAACGGACATTGGAAATGAAAATGGTAATCTTTATAACATCAACAAAATACAATACTTGCCAGCAGCGTGAAGTAGGTAAGCCACTGCTCGTGGGACTACTTAGACAGCATATTATCCCCCCACCACTTACAATAGTGTCCAACGTATTTATGAGGATTGGGACATGTTCATAGATATGGTATATAACAGTTATGTAATGACAATATCTAAATATTTTGTACACAATTTTATTTTATTTTTAGAGATAATAATGCTATAATAATACAAGTCTTACTAATTAATCCATAGCTGGGGAAGAAGAGGTGGATTCATACCTTTCCCAAGGGTATTTGTGCATAAGTGTATATAACGAAACTGACTGGAATTAGAACCCTGCTCTCTGATTAACAATTCTGAGCCATTATCCATTACACCACCTGCACATCTTAGCTTACAGCACCTGGTATTCTCAAGCGGTCACCCATCAAGGGACTGATCACCCTCAATGTTCTCTGTTAATATGGTATTAGGTTGGTGCAAAAATAATGGCGTACTAATGTCGTTTTTTGACGTATTTTTTAACGTCAAAAAACGACATTCTTACGTCATTATTTTTGCACCAACCTAATAGAAAAAATGGTTGAAAATGAGATGTCATATCAGGGTTGATAACATTGCAGATTCTTCTTTGGCTTTTGTCAAGATCTCTAGATTCAGAAGTATCAGACCAGATGTGAGAATAATATTTAACGTATGGAATAGATACTCATACACAATTATCAACACTGATAAACTCCAACAGCTGCTTCTCTCACATTTCTCACCAGTAGAACTCCCTTCCGCGTACTTGCTTCCCTGATGGCTATAATCTTCAAATATTCAAATGTAATGTCAATCAACATCTTCTGATACCTTCACCCTGATCCACGTCCTTCTCCATATCCTTTCCTCAAACACTCCTCTTTACTTTTGCTCTCACTCTCTGTAACCCCTCGTCTGCTGGTGGAACTCCTGCCTTGCTTGAGGTGAAATGCTTAATTATATATATATATATATATATATATATATATATATATATATATATATATATAATGAAATGGACTATGTTTGACATTTATTTTAATACATTTTATTGTTATATGTTATTTATACAGACACGAATATGCTTTTGTTTATAATAAACAATATTAACAACATTTACCGTCCTGAATGTCCGAGAAATTTTATAGAAAATGTGTCCTCCAACAGGAATCGAACCTGTATCCTACATGGAACTGTCACATAGCCTGATGTGCTACACTATTTCAGCTACAAAGGAAGCATCTGGTTAGCAAGGTTGAATTACTGCTTTTAAACTACAAATTTCCCATGATTTCCATCAAATGCTCATATCTGCTCAAAGCGTATCTTAATGTAAACATCATATATTATGAAATGGACTAAGTCTGATAATTATACATTTTATTGTAATAAGTTATTTATATAGACACAAATATTTAAGTAAACACTGTCTTTTCTACAAATATTTTCATGGTATCTGCTCTGATGAGCTATTTTCACTGGTGCCTCGATTGTATGAATTTAAGCATGCTACTAGGTTGGCATCTTGGTCCTACCCTTTTACTGTCAAAATCAGTTAAATGTAACTGCCTCTTCTACTCCAACAGGTTCTTCTCTCGCACTTTCCGACAGTGGAACTCCCTTTCTCTTATTTCCTACCCTGAAAACTATAATCTTCAAAAATTTAAATGTAATCAACATTTTCTGATGCTTTTATATGATGCAACCTCAGTACTTAGCCATTACAAATATTTCCAAGACTATAAACCTTCCTGAAGCTGAGCCACAAACTTAAACATGCTGTGTTTACTAGCAGCGGCGGGGTATTTGCTTTTAAGTGAATATAACGAATGCAAATGGAATTTGGCTCTCTGATTAACAATGCCAGGCCATTATTCATTACACCACCTGCAAATCCAAGTTTACATTGTGACCAGACTCAACATTGCTTAACTTCAGTGAGTGTACAGTGTTTCGACATAATATGCTTGTTAGCCTGGAGAAGTAGAGGTTGCTGCCCACAGAGATCACATTTTAAAGACTGAAATATATTTATGTTCTAAACATATTAATGTATTTTTTATGCAACTATGAACAGCTATAAATGATAAAGTTATTCAAAAAAAAAAAAAAAAAAAAAAAAAAAAAAATCATTCTTTAAAATTTTGGGGGGACGATTAAATTTGCTTTTTTGGTAAAGGGGAAGAATGGTCCCCCAAAAAAAAAAAAAAAAAAAAAAAAAAAAAATCAAGAACACTGATAATTAATAGGAGTAAATAGGTCTGTCTATCGTCTGGTTCACACTCCTTCCTGATCTTCTGAACAGGAGTAGTATCCCTTGTTTCCTGTTTAGGATTGGGTTTCTAGATTCTCCTAAAATCTATTTCAACTCTATACGCCTAACGTCTCTGCCCGAATACTGAAAGCTTATTTACGAATTAAATCTTGATCTCTTCAAGTCTAGAATAAGCTGTTATCTTGCCATTTCTTATGCTAATACAACTCCAGAGTAACCCTCTATCTTGAGTGGTCCTTGGGCCTTGTATTGAATGAAAAGTAATAAAAAAAAAAAAAAAAAAACACTTTCTCAGAACTCCAGAAATTGTTAAAATATACAAGAAATTGTCCATTGCTTAGTAACATAACCTTATTTTTAGCTTCTCTTTTACCAAATGCGATGAAAACCTGCTTAAATAATAATACTCTACTGGAATGATTGTAAATTTTAATATCAATTTTTAAAAAATATTGAAAAACGACAATACAAATCCATGTTTTCTATAGGCTCAGAAACTACTGAA